TGTGTGTGTGTGTGTGTGTGTGTGTGTGTGTGTGTGTGTGTGTGTGTGTGTGTGTGTGTGTGTGTGTGTGTGTGTTTTCTACAGGTAACCCGGCGAGCTCAGCGCTCCCAGACCGCCCTGCAGGCCCAGATAACTCGTCTGTCCCAGGACAAAAGGAGGCTCCAGGAGGAGATGGCGGCTCTGTTGGCCCAGAGAGAGGAGCTGGAGAGAAAGTGCTTGGATTACAGGAAAGAGCAGGCTGACATCCTGCCTCGTCTGGAGGAGACCAAATGGGAGGTGAGACAGGAAGTCTTTGTGCTTGACCGGTTTCAAGAAAGAATTTCAAACCTGCATCCAGCTGGGCTACATAGGTGAGCCGGTGGGATAAAGGTGTGCAGGAAGTTGACTTTGTTTGTTAGTGAATGAGATAAAAAGCTTAAAAAAAATCTTGTTTTGTCAGTTAACGAATAAGGAAAGCCTTTTCCAACCACGGCCCTGCACACGTGCTCTTTATGTGACAGGTGTGTCAGAAGGCTGGCGAGATCTCCCTGCTGAAGCAGCAGCTGAGGGAGAGCCAGGCCGAGGTGACGCAGCGAGCGGGAGAAATGGTGGCCTTGAGAGGCCAGCTGAAGGAGCTCAACGCCCAGCTGAGGGAGCGGGAGGAGGTCATGCTGGGCCTGAAAGACTCCTACAGCACAAAGTGTCTGGAGCTGGAGAAGTGTGAAGGAGAGCTGAGGAGGACCCTGTCTGAGGTGGGAAAAAAAGCCAACAAATCACCAATTAAACAAACAACAATTTGAGTTTAAGCGAGATTTTATTGAGCGAATGCCTTGTCTTGCTAAATAAACAGCAAAAATGATAGAAATTCAAAATCAGTATCATGTTGAAAGCTGTTTCATCAGAGCCTGAAATTGTTATATGAAATGTTTGAGTCTGCGTTTCTCTCTGCAGGTGTCCGTCCTGAGGGAGAAGTTGGGAGTGTTCGAGGCAGAGGTGCTGAGTTTAAAGCGTGCTCTGAGTGAAGTAAGTCGAGGCGCTGAAGTTGTAGTGGGCCCTAACTTAGCTGCAGTGGGGCTGCTGCCCCCCTGGGGAACGGTCCACTGCCCGCGAATCCCAGCGGAGCCCCCCAGCAACTCGCTCACCCCCACGTCCGACACCTTGCTCAGCCTCCAGAGCGATGAAGCCAAAGCCCAAAGGCAGGAGGCTCAGAGGCAGGAGAGGCAGCAGCGCGAAGAAGCCCAGTGGCGTGACGTGCAGCAGCGGCAGGACGCCCACGCGCAGCAGGACCTCCAGATGCGGTCAGACCCGCAGCTCCGCCAGGAGGCCCAGCTTCGGCAGGAGGCCCACCTCCGCCACGAGGCCCAAATCCGCCAAGAGGCTCAGCTGCGTCAAGAAGCGCAGCTCCGTCAGGAGGCCCAGCTCCGCCACGAGGTTCAAATGCGCCAGGAGGCCCAGCTCCGCCACGAGGCTCAACTCTGCCAGGACGCGCAGCTGCGCCAGGAGGCCCATCAGCCACAGCGGGGTCCGGAGGGTCACTGGGATGAAGCGGGGGAGCTGCGCAGGCAGCTGGAACAGCTTCAGGCTGCTTTACGTCTGGAGAGGCAGCAGCGGGAACGCCAGGCCCTGAACTTCGACCAGGAGCGGCACACCTGGCAGGATGAGAAGGAACGAGTTCTGAAGTATCAGGCACAGCTGCAGCTCAGCTACGTGGAGACCCTGCAGAAGAACCAGGCTCTGGAGAAACGTATGAGTCAGCTGGGAGCCAAACAAACCTCAACCTGCACCACTGCTATCACCACCATTACCACGTCCCCCACTTCTTCTAACTCCCCACCTCCTCCACCGGCCCTGTCACCTCTCTCTCCTCAGCTGCCTTCTCTCTCTGGTCCTCCTTCTCTCTCTGGTCCTCCTTCTCTCTCTGGTCCTCCTTCCCTCTCTGGTCCTTCTTCCCTTTCTGGTCCTCCTCTCCTCTCTGGTCCACCTTCCCTCTCTGGTCCTCCTCTCCTCTCTGGTCCACCTTCCCTCTCTGGTCCTCCTCTCCTCTCTGGTCCACCTTCCCTCTCTGGTCCTCCTCTCATCTCTGGTCCTCCTCTCCTCTCTGGTCCTCCTCTCATCTCTGGTCCTCCTCTCCTCTCTGGTCCTCCCTCCCTCTCTGGTCCTCCACCTCTTTCTGGTCCTCCTTCCCTCTCGGGTCCTCCTCACCTCTCTGGTCCTCCTTCCCTCTCTGGTCCTCCCTCCCTCTCTGGTCCTCCACCGCTTTCTGGTCCTCCTTCCCTCTCGGGTCCTCRCCCTCCTCTCTCCGGCCCTCCTTCCCTCTCCGGCCCCATCGCCCTCACCCTCTCCCCTCCATGCGAAGACCAAAAGGGCCCTCCATCCCTCCACCAGCTCGCCCCTCCCTGGGCCGGACCATCTCGCCTGGAGAGGATCGAGTCAACYGAGATTTAGAGGCAGTTTTTGTGAAACTTCTGCTCCGTTTCTCTGCCCTCCAATCCAAAAACATTTCAACAGAAACACACACAAAAAAAAGAGGCTAAAATAAGATCGTTTCACTACTTCTTCTACTATAAAACTAAAAACAAATCTGAACAGGAAGCTGAACTGCACTGTTCATTATCACAACCTTTTTTTTATTTTTGCACACTAATACATCAAATCAATTTGTCACACTGATCAGTGACAGAAGACAAAATAATTGGAAAAAAAACCTCACAGTATTACACACATTTAAAGCCCATGTTAGAAAGTGAAACAAGACAATCAGGGATCTTGTCAGAATCGATCAATGAGAACACGTTGTGGTTTTTATTCATTGTAAGTCTGTGTCACTGGTTATGTAAAAGTAGACTTAGTGATCAGAGTGTGACGTTACCTTACATTTCTGGCCAGAGAGCGCCTTACTCCATTCTTTCCAACACGAGTAAGAGAAAAACTAACTAATGTTGGGAATTGATGGGGGGAAAAAAAGAATATATGTATATCAAGAGCGTGATTATTTATTTTCAGTGCTTTAAAAGGAGCAAACCAGCTACACAACACTATTACACAAGGCTGGACTAGTTCTTTGAAATCTCAGCAGATGTTGACCTTAAAGGTCACACAAACACACACACACACACCAACACACAGAGCGACGTTTCATGCACAGGGTCCGCTGTGCATGACCCGTTCAAATAACAAAGAACCAAGAGAGTTTATATTTTCTACAAACTGAATTTAAAAAAAGCAGGTAATCAGCGCCAACAGAAAACATTTTTTGGATGCAAGAGAACTCGACTCATTTCAGATTCTCTGCCGTGACTAAAAAATGAACGCTAGGGGTCAGCGGAGAGCTTTCACGGAGCCCTGACCACCACATCCCTGCTGGACTGCAACGTGAATGCGCACACACAATTTGAATTTAGATATTATGATAATTGTGTTATTGTGCATTTGCAACCAAAAAATAATTTTAAAAAATCAAAGAAAAGTGCAGTCAGTCACCCCAAAGGGAACGTTTTTATAGAATGTATGATATTCAAGCAGAAAGAAAAACCTATTATAGTTATAGATTGTAAATGTGTGTGTGTGTGTGTGTGAGAGAGAGAGATAGTGTGTGTGCATGTGTGTATCCATATTAAAAAGCATCAGCTTATGAGATTGAGGATAGAGGGACTAGTGGCAATAGAAGTGGAGATGCATTAAGATAAAAGGGATCTTCTTTTACATCAAAGCTTGTGAAGGCTGACATTTTAAACCAAGGATGTGTGTATGTATATTGGGGAAACAAAAAAAAAACTTTTTACTTTCTTCTGTATATTTCATGTACACAAAGCAGGGGAGACGGAAGCTGGAAGCAAATATCTGAGAAGTGGAGCATTTTGAAGGAGAACGTTCAGGCTAAGAAGTGCACTACGTCATGTTCAACACACAAGTTCTGATGTACAGTAGAGTCCGATGTGAATATCATGGCTTTTATAACTGTTGTTTATGCCAGCATTAAGAAGATGTTGCTCAAGAATATTAACTTATCTCTAAGGTAGTATTATCATCTTTATTAGTTATTATATTATGGTGAACTGACAGATAAAATATGTGCCATTTGAGCTTTCCTTTACGTGTTTCTTTTTTTTAATCTGTGTAGCTATGGCCGGCATTGGCTGACCATAATAGTGCAATCATAGCAATCTTGTCCAAAAAATAAAAATAAGCCAAAAAAAAAAAAGACAATGTTACTTTTGATGTGAGTGATGTAGTTAAAGTGTTGCATTGTTTAGAAATGCTTCAGATTTTATACATGTTTAAAAAGATATTGTTTGCATTTATGTTACTAGTACTGCTCTGGCTTGATTAAAACAACTCATTTGTTCAAATTCAGATGAACTAATAAAGATATGTGAAGAATTCAGCAGCGTTTTGTCTGAGATGAAGCTCTTTTGATAATAAGACTAGTGAAAACATTTGAAGCATTCAAAAAAATGTGAAATATTTGTAAATAGAAAATGCACAAATGCACGCACAAACCATGCAACAACAAAAACTATTACTTCTGACCGAGCAAAAAACTACTTTGACTGATATATAAATATATATATGTGTATATATACAGTATATATAAGATCATTGC